CTGATTGAGACCCATTTCATTACTTTAACATCCAGCCTTCCAGCTTTTATCTCATTTTCTCTCTATTTGGTAGTTCGATAAGTGGCCGCCTCGCTCTCTAAACACGAAGCTGCTCTCTCCATTTATAGAGCACATCTTCTTGTTAAGAGCTTCTCTCCAGCTAGTGCCCAATATTTTATGCCCTGTGTGTGTGTGTGTGTGTCATGTTATCTCATGTTATCTCATGTTCTGTTAGTCTATATGAGGTTGGATTGGTTGATCTATGTTTTATTGGTTGTTGTAGTAATATACACTTAAAAAAAAGTGCCTTGAAAAAACATACCCATTTCTTGTTTTAATATGAAAATTGAAAAACAGAACCAAATAATATTCAATCCACACGCAATTGGAAGCAGAACTTTCAGCTCAAATTGGAGTTAGAAATAGAAAAAGAAACAAAAAACAAACAAATATGAGATCAAAGAGGAAAATCTAAAAGCTAATAAATTAATATTCAAACATAAACGAATATTTAAGAAGTCATACAAGTAACGGAACTTCAAGATCAAGTTTGGAAATTGGAAAACAGAACAAACCGAATAAGTGACTCATGATCTGATTCTAAAAATATAACTGAGTATGTGAAGACATTGAAGAGAGAGATATGCCAACTCTAACTCACAACCTTCACGGTCACCAAACTCTTTAGATCTTTGTGGTTTTCATTAGAAATGCAATACATATGTTCAAGATCACACGGAATTGAATTTCATGGTTCTCAAAACTTGGTTTGCCAGAGTGTTTGAGATATCTTCAAAGTGGTGGTTTGGGGTGATTCTGGAATATGGAGAGATCATGATTTGTGATGTAAGAGAGATATGTTTGGAGTATGGGGGGAGAGAGAGAGAGAACGAGTGTTTAGATGAGAAAACTTTTGATGTGACAATACATAGCAGAGGGGCAAAATGGTAAAAATACAGAAATTTGCTTACATCAGCTTTAATGGTTAAATATCGGTGTATTATAGAGGGGACAATTTTGTAAATTCACAGCAAACGTTAAAGACTTGACAGTGGTTAATTCTCGCGAGTGTCAGATATTTATTATAAAACTTTCCTACGATATTTACTACCCAAACCTCAACCTCAAGGAGGTCAAAGTAATTTACACTTTTAGTTCTTGTTTTATGCGCCCCTTGTTATGTTTCTAAACGCAAGGTGTGCCATCTTTCAACTTGATGGTAAGAAGGTAGATTTCATTCTGTTAGGAACACAGTTAAGAAACCTGTAGGTTACAAATGTCAGTGCCGAAAATTGTTTAGGCTAATCTGTCGTTAGTCTCAGATTTATCGTAGTTTATGTATAAAAGATATCAGACCGTGTGGAAAGACAAGCTTGATTTTTTGAGCAGTATGCTGCCTTAAACATCATATTTTCATCCCGGTGATAGGTGTACGTGGGTGGTGATGCTGCCATCATTGATGAATAACCATATAAGTCTGGTTCCTTGCATCTTTTACATGGCGTGATGGTCAATTTCCCTTTATGTTATAGGTTGAAGGAGTCGAAGGTATAATGGCTGCTTATTCAAGTGTTCTGCACAATGTTACTCTTGCTGGACCCACCTTATTTGGTCCGGTTATCAACAAGGCTGCAGAAATTGCTGGGCATTCCCTCTCATACGACAAGAGCAAGTACTTTGTCTTGCTGATTATAACGGTAGTGAATCAAACGACAAATATTTGCTTCTTTCTTGTTCTTTCTATTTTTTATTTTTGTAATAAAATAATTTCATACTTTTGTAGGATGGAGTCCTTACTGATCTTCAGGAAACTAAAGATGCTTTAGTGAGAGCATCCGACCCACCGCTTTCAATTCTAATTGTTGGAGTTGGTGGTGCAGATTTTGAAAAAATGGAGGTAGTATATCCTTAATTTTTTGTATTCAGATTTGGCCTTCAATTAATTCACTTTTATTAGCACAATAGCACTAAAAATCCTTTCATTGTTGGTATTGGATGTTATCCTTTTACAAACCTGTGTGTTAAAATTGGTATGTGACGACATAATTCTTGTTTATCTTGCAGATCCTAGTTGCTGATGGTGGACAAAGATTAGAGAGTTCCACGGGAAGGATAGCTACACGAGACATTGTACAATTTGTTCCGATGCGTGATGTGCATGGTGAGTTCATCTTTGTTTAGTGTATGTGTATCTACTGTATTCTTGTCAACCTTCTTTGATGCTTTAAGCTTCTTAGCTTGCCTGTTAATGAAGCTCAAGTTGAAGGTGGATTCAAAGGTGGTCTTGGTTAGTAATACCAAACAGTGCAGTTGTGAGGGGTTCAAGATCGAATTTTGATGTTCATTGGGTATTTCGGTTACAATCTTACTTTAATGAATACATTTGTTACGTTAGGAGCAGATTACTGGTTCAGCTGAGCTTAGTTGCTTCAAGCCTGGCTTGTCCCAGCCAGCCGCCTTTCATGCTTCAAGCCTTTTGGTTGTTTAACCAAGAAGAAGCTCATGCGAAGATGGATTAGGAGATATGATTCATGCATGATTGGAATTGAGGAATAAGTTTTCCCAACAGTTGAGAGAGTGGTTTTGATGGAAACATCAAAGGTGATGGTGGGCAGACTACCATGGCACTTACTGCAAATTGCTGTGTGCGATTTGTACCTCTTAAGTTGGTATTGAAAGGAATAGGTAGGTTGTAGGCCTGAATAGGGTTCTGCTGATACACTATTAAACCTGATGTAAACCTTGCAATTTTCAAAAGACAGTTTGTGTACTAATTAATTATACGTGAAACTATACTTATTCTGTTTGTTATAGTTTTCGTCTTCTGCTTTTCTATTTCACTGTAAATAAAACATTGTATCCCCTCGTGCAGACGGGCAGATCTCGGTTGTTCAGGCTCTCTTGGAAGAGCTACCTGGCCAGTTCTTGACTTACACACGGAATAGAGACATCAAACCACACACGGCCAATGTAGCCCAAACTTCTTCTCAAGCGTATCCACACACGGGCAATGTAGCACAAACTTCTTCTCAAGCGTATCCACACACTGCCAATGTACCCCAAGCTTCTTCTCTAGCGTATCCACACACGGACAATGTAGCCCAGACTTCTTCTCAAGCGTATCCACACACGGACAATGTAGCCCAAACTTCTTCTCAAGCGTATCCACACATTGCCAATGTAGCCCAAACTTCTAATCCAGCATATCCACACACGGCCAATGTAGCCCAAGCTTTTTCTACAGTGTTTCCACACGGGGCCAATTTAGCTCAAACTTCTTCGCAAACGTATCCACACACAGCCGATGTAGCTCAAACTTCCTCACAAGCGGCCAATGTAGCCCATCCTTCCTCTCGGCCGCATCCTTGAATGGTCAAGATCATCACCAATAATTTCAGAATTGAAGTAAATATTTCCCATCTTGGTTGAAGCTGTGCTGGCATCATTACATGTACAGGAATTGCTTAGAATCGGAAGGCGTTTTTCCATGTAAAGGAATTTCTTAGAATTGGTAGATGTGAAGGGAAAATATATATATAAGTGCATATCGTTAAGAAGTAGAAACTCTTTTGTTTTTTAAACAGTAAACACAAATTGTTTCACAGTATAGTTGATGGCATTTCAAGAAATGTAGACAAGTGATGGTGCCAAGTATGATTGGTTTGATAATATTGAGAATCCATGGTGGTTTCATGATCTTTATCATGTTTTTTGAATTAGTTGCTTTTTCAGCCAAGAAATGTATGCGATGTGCATTTTTTTATTGCCATTATTTTAAGAATGGAATTTCAGAAAAAAAAAAAAATATTAACTTCTTCACTAGAGCTTTATTTATATTTGATTTGTTACCAAGGCATGGGAATGAAAGTGGGTGGGAAAGAATGTAAAAGGGGTCTTGACTCTTGTCTCTTGGCTGGCATCAAATCCGAATTGGGAAAGCCTTGAACAATATGGTTTACCTTTTGGTTCAGGTGGGCAAGCTTACAATTTGTTTTGGTTAGAATATATATTATATTATAACCATATGTTGATATAGTTTAAACTTGAAAAAAAAAAAACCCTTTCTCTAACATTACTTTCCTAACATTTATTTTCTATTTTTGAAAACCCATAACTAAGAGAAATTCATAATAATTATTATCTTATTGAAGACTCAAAATAAATAAATAAATAAATAAACCTTCTCTAACATTACTTTTCTGTAGTAACATTTATTTTCTATTTTTGAAAACTCATAACTAAGAGAATTTCAGAATATTATCTTCTTAAAGACTCAAGGTAGTAGATTTATATATGTCGTTTTGAAGAAAAATTTCAAAAATAGGAAATATTGGGGCCATTATAAAATTCTGTTTGGTTCAATTTTTTTAAAATTGTTATATGAAAACTTTGTTATAAAAAAATATGGCCATACTTGGATTGGATTTATGAAAACCATTCTCAAGAACAGTTCTCAAAAATAATTTTCAAAGAACAGTTTTTAGTTTTTTCAGATTTCAAGCCTGCTTGGTTAAGAGAATTTACAAAACAATTTCCGGAAAACAAAAACTCATAAAACCTTTGGTTGTATTTATTGAAAATAGTTTTCTGAACTTATTTTGCCTTGTATGCTCTCTCTCTCTCTCTATATATATATATATACTTATATTTTAAATCTTATGTGACGATTTCATTACTATTACCAAAAAAAAAAAATCTAATGAAGGAAAGATTTATTCAACAAACAAAGCTAAATAAAGAAAAAAGCTAAATAAAGAAGAAGGAAAAAAAAAAAAAAAATCAGATTATACTAATAATCATAATCTTGGAATATGATGAATGCTTTTACTTAGAATAATAATTAAAAGTTTAATAATTAAATATGCAATTAGGGTTAATTTCAGTGAAAAAAGATCAAATCAACAAATATATATATATTTATATATATATATATATGAAAAAAAAACTTCATTTAAATCATCAAACCCAACAAATAGAAATTACAAGAAGAGAGAGAAGATCAAATAGAGAGCAGAAACAATCCATAATGTAGAAAAAATTATAGAAGTTTTTAGAAAACAAAAATTCGTCAACAACTATTTGTTACATCAAGTTCCCTTAGGATCCTCTTTTCACTAGGCAAAGGAGCTCTGTTCACAATCAAAGAAGGCACATCTAAAAAAATAGAACTAAGAAAATCTGAATCCGGCCGCAATCAAATCCAACCAAAGCAAACCCAGCCCAATAAAATCGACAATAAAATAAAAAAATAAAAAAATAAAAACTATATATATATATATATATATATATAGCAAGGCCAGGGATTATATTATACATAGTATGTTTTAAGAGAAGGGAACATTGTACAGAAACAAAAATTGTACAGATTAGATACCACCACTCATGGATTGAGCATCCATATCCAGCGACAATTTGAGAGATAAGCAAGGTGAAACAAGATCGATGAGAGATGAGAGGTTTCTTGTATTTTCAAAAAAAGAGCCAAAAAAGAGTCTTTAAGAGGCAGGGATCGATCGACGACCACCAAACAAGATTCTTGATTGAAGTGAGAAGATAAGGTAGAGAAGTGTAAGATAGAGAGGCAAGTTCAGAATCTGTTGTTGAAGATAAGGTAGAGAGAGAAAGTCTAGAGAGTGTTTTAAACAAGCAAAGGGTTCCGTTCTTTTTAAGTGAGGAGTTGTTCTCTGTGTTTTCTAACAAAGTGAGAATGTATTCTCAAAACTCACAGAAGAGCTTTAAGTTGTTTTTGTATCTCTCAAAACAGAAAACTGTTTTGGGAGATACATTCCAACATGGCCCAACCCAGCACTGGTATATAAACAAAGTTGGAACAAATTCTAGGGTTGTTGTGCACTCTCGTCTGCCGATTCCAGAGGCGATATTCCGACACTGTTCGTGCATTGCTGAAAATGTGTGAAGATCTGAAGATAAGCTCCCTCTCTCTCACCTCTGCGTTTTCCGGCGAACCTAAAGTTTCGGCGCTGCCTTCTGTCACTCCGGCAAGCTCTTGTGCGCTCTTGTTTGCCGATTCCTTTCTCGATTCCAAACTGTTTGTGCTTTGTTGCTGAAAATGATCCTAGATCTGAAGAGAAGCTCCCTCTCTCTCACGTCTGCGTTTTTCGGCGAACCCAAAGCTTCGCCGCTGCCTTCTGTCACTCCGGCAGCACCCTTCTGACCTGAGAAGAACCCTCCGGCAGCATCCTTCTGACCTGAGAAGAACCCTCCGGCAGCATCTAAAGGTAATTTACATCTTCCCACTTCAATAAACGTATGCTATACATGTTTGATGGTGTTTGATTGGATTGATATATTGATTTGTTTCTGATTTGGGTTCTTAATCAATGTTTGATTATGAGTTTTTGAAACCCCCGTTTTGATGCTTGGCTTGAACCTACCTATTTCAGCTTCACTTCAAACGAGTTTGTTTGGAAGCCCTCTTTGCGACCTTTATTTCACATGAAAAACTTTCACTTCCATAATGTGTTTTAAACATACTTCATTAATTGACTTCTCTTTTTTTTTCATTAATTGAGTTTACCTTTTAGATTATGACCCCTCAAAACTGTATATAGAATCAACATATTCAATCTCAATTTACTTGATTGGGCACATCTGGAAGTATCTTGAATATGAATGGCCCTGTTCCACTCTAAATGGTGTTTACATACAATTGGGCTACTAAAAAATGTAGGAGATTAACACCATTCTCAGTTTTCCTTAAGAATGAAATATATATGTATCAAGATCTTCTAACATCATTGTGAAATAAGACATTTCCTCTACTAATTCCACAACTTGCTCAAATGACATAGATTCGCTCACTAACCTTGTTAATTCACCACTAATTTGACTGCAAAATATATAACTGATTATTTCACCTGGGTGCAGATATATACAAACTGAACCAAGACCTTTGAAACACAACTAACATGGTTGTTAAAGGCTCAAGGCGCACAAAAGCACAAATGCCTCCTGGAGCCTGAGGCGAGGCGCGCGCCCGACTGAAGCAAGGCGCGCGTTGGGAAAAAAAAAAAAACAAAACCCACCTAATAAAGTATTAAATATGCAATTGTATATATGAAGATGCAATTGTCAACTAAATGAATTACTTAAGTTCAATATTCAACATAAAGATGCCAAAACCATGCAAAAAACACATGGATGTGCTATTATTATTAATTTATTTTTAAGTCAAATCAAATCTAATTTTCATTAAGCACGAATAAAAATAGAAATTATGAATTTATCTTGCAAAAACTACAAGGATGTAATATATTTTCAAATCAAATCAATTCAATCTAATTTTCTATAACTATGAGCACCATGATTGATTCTATTTTTCATTTTTGGGTAAGTGATTTAACAACTAAACATTCTTTCAATAATAGAACCTAATTATATGAAATAATATAAAAGTTGCTATTTACAATTTGAGATTGTCTTCTACAATTTAGAGTACACTTAACTAATTATTTCATTTTAAAAATTAGATAAAAATACATTTCCTCAAACCAATAACTAAAAATGGCTATAGCAAACCACCCTACCAGCCTACCTAAGAACCAGTGCGAATGGAACAACATATTAACATGTTAGAAACTTAGAATGGAACAAATATAGCAAAATAGTGATCAACATAATAAAGGGGTCATAAAACAGGATCACACAAATAAATAAAAAAATGGTGAGAGCAATACAATGTAATCTAATCCAAGCAGGTAAATATAAAGTACCTCACACAAATAAATAAAAATAAAAAATAAAAAGAAGAAGAAAAAGAAGAATAAATGATAAATCTGACACAGTCCGCGTCACAGTCCAGAGAAGAAAAGAAAAAATAAATAAAATAAAATAAAAATAAAAAAATGCGAAAAAGAAGAATAAATGATAAATCTGCCAGCAGCCAGACAGTCCGTGTCACAGTCCAGAGAAGAAAAGAATAAAAGAAAAAAAATAAAAAATAAAAAGAAAAAAGAAAAATAAAAATAAATCTGCAAACTCGACTCGGCCGAGAGAAGAAAAGAACAAAAGAAAAAGAAGAAAAGAAGAAGAATAGAGGGAAAAAAAAAATCTGAGATCGATCCGGCAGATCAGAGAAGAGAAGAAGAAGAGAAGAAGGAGAGAAGAAGAAGAAGAAGAAGGAGAGAGAGAAGGAGAACTAACCGCAAATCCGACGCAGATGATGCAGATCCGAGACCGAGTCGTCACTCGTCGCTGCCTCTGTCTTCTTTCCTTTGCTTTTTGCTTTTTGCTTCTCTTGTTTTTTTGTTTTTTTGTTTTTTATGTTAACTTGTAGCTTTTCTATTACATAAACTAATAAAATAATATAATAATAATATAAACAATACACAAACAATAAACAAACACAGCCATGGAGACAAAACAATTTAAAAACTACTTTTTCAAGCAGGCGCGCTACCGCCTGTGTATAAAAGGCGCACGCCTTCTTTAACCCATGCGCCTTAAGGTACTAAAGGCGACAAGATGGCGCCTGGAGGCGCTTTCCTTTGACAACTATGAGAACTATGACTTTGTGCTGCCACCAACCGACCTTTACTTGAGTCTAACAAATAAATTCATTGTAAATAATTTTCATAAACTAAACAAATTTCAGTAAAAGACATTAAAAACCCAAATTTTGTTATTCATTTTTTTTTTTTTTTTTTATATATTTCATCTTTGTATATATATGCACCTTCTCTGTAAATTGAAAACTGAAAGTAAATTGAAAACTGAAAAACAAATTGAAAAACAGAAAACTGAAAAAACACTATGGACTAAAATTGAACAAATTTGCATTGTGGGACTTGAATGAAATACACTGTGATGTTTTTGAGATAAACTGAGACAAAAATGAAATTTGGGACTGTGACTTAGTTTTGTTGGGTTGCGGTTTTGTGAATGGAGGATTGGGCAGTATTGTTGTTGTTTTTGTTGAGGAGTTTGGGCATATGTGAAATGGGCCTTTGTTTGTTTAATTGGAATTTTTACCTTGTGAATTGATTTGAGAAATGAAAAATGGATAGTGGACTCGAAAAGTTGAAATTGAAATTGGAAGTGTGAAAAAGATGTGGACCTTGGGTTTTTTAATTTAGCACTAGCACTAAGATATATTAACATTATTTTCTATTGGAATGGGAGCAGTTTCTTGGGTGATAATGTATGAGGTATTTGAATAACCTTTAAATTCCTCATTTCTAAGTACTTCTTTGTGACATTTGACTATGGATCTAACATTTTTCATGGCTTAATTAATAACTGCATTCCGTTATAGTTATCTTGCAATGTAGTACCCGAAGCCAAGGGAAGAACATTAGAAAAAATACAGGCATCCATCAATACATTCTCAGCATCAACTGCTTTTTTGGAGTGGAATGCACTTGTGCTTCTATATTGAAGTCTTCCAATGCTAACGGTGATGCTGTTGACAAATATTGGAAATGAGTGGACATTTGTTTCCTTCAGTAATGCTGGACTTGGAAGAGGTCGGACAACTTCGAAATTTTTTCAGTTTGCCTCTTGTAATAAATAGGTAATTCAAGATCTATGTATAGAGAGATGGGACAACTTTGTGTACAGTTTTAATATTGGTTGGATTGTTAATTATAGACAATTTGTATATTCGAGTATGAAATGAATTTGAATTGGTAGATGGTTCATTATACACATGATCAGTATTGTAAATGCTTTTAAATTTTAACTGTATGAAATGGATTATTGATTATATGCAAGTTTTATAGAGCTCAAATAGAATGATTTTTAATGGAATGGTATATAATGATTTTTAATGGAATGGTATATAATGATTATTCAAAAGTTTTATATACGAATGATATCAATTTAAATGGAATTACATGTTTTCATATTGTCGATGATTGTTATTCACAATTTATATTGTCACTAATATTTTATTACAGTTTAACTCTGCCAAACATGTTTTGTTTTCGTATTTCTTGAAACGAAATATCTTGCCAAACATATTCTACAATGTTTCTGTTTCATCTAAATGGGCCCTTAGTTAAATAAGAGAAGAGGAACGAAACGTTAGAGATTGAGATATGGTAGCAGATATTTAATAGGATATGGTTTAATATTTAATATGATAGGGTTTAATAACAAGAAGGGTTTAATATAAGAAGGGTTGGAGGGTTAATTAAGGAAATATATAATTAATAAATATTTATCCTGTGAAATCTTGGCATTTTAGACTGGATTTGAAACGCAATTAAAAAGGGATTTGAAATCCTATAATTATCAAATCCCATTTGTAATTCTGTGGTTCCAAACAAGGCAACTCCTGTTTCCAAATTCAAATCCCATCGAATCCAACATTCCAAACAAAGCATTGCACCGTTAAATGCAAATCCCTTAGTAGCCATGTGGCTAAAAATAAATAACATACCGTTAAATGAGAAGATAAATTTAATATAAATATATTTTTTGAATTTAACAGTGTTCAGTGTAGTAATCGAAAATAATTATTTCCTTAAATAATAAGATATGGAATTATTGGATCGCAATACAAACATTTAACGTACATCTAGCACACTGGTGTCTTCTATACTACAGTACTAATTAAGACGGCGTGGTTCTGTTTCCCAGTATGACTTACGATAACTCTCCAATCACGTCGTTTTGTAGTCCCTGACTTTCACCCATTAGCAAAAAAACTCATTGACTTTCACCTGTTAACAAAAAACTTCTTTTTGTGGCAAAAAAAGGCATCTCAACTATCGTGAAGGGTAATTAAACTATGTCCTTTTTATAATTCGTTCACTTTCAATTGAACATTCCTTCACAAGTAAACTTTTCCCCGAATCCCTAATCAATTTCCATATTGTGTATCAACTTGTCGATTGTAATTACAATATACATATTTTTTCTGCTCGCTAATTAGGGTGAATAGCAAAAAAAACCCCTGACTTTCACCCTTTAGCAAAAAAACCTCCTTTTTGTGGCAAAAAAAAATGCCTCTCAATTATCATGAGGGGTAATTAAACGGATGTCCGTTTAAGGAGTTCGGATGTCCGTTTAAGGAGTTATTTTTTGGATGAAAATGCCCCTTAAACGGTTGAAGCTCTGTTCTGGGTCTTCTTCCTCCACTGCATCGTTGATGCCACAACCGGGTTAAAACACACGTTAGTTACACAGTTAAGGCACATGTTAGTGTAAGGATGGATGTGAAGGTTGACCCCCTCTCTGCGTATTACTCAAGTGGGTGTGCGAAAAGGCACCGGACCTTTCCCCAAAACATACAACAAGAAGGTTGAACCCCATCTTAGCCTTCTGTGCCGCTTGATTGTGACTGACCGATAAGGAGTCCTCTCATCCGACGATTGGGCAATAAGTTGTAATCCATGCTATTTCAGGTGGACAACTACGCTAGCAAGTTGCCGTACCAGAACTGATGTACACCGGCGTAGAGCTCTCCGGATTTATCACCAAACTCGTCAACAACCTCCCGCGAGTCGCCAGCGCGGGGACCTTTGCTGTTGAAAATAGCAATCGGCGGTGCACCGACATACCGGATTGTAATGGATTCGAGTCGTCTGTACCAGCAACAAATCCATCTGTCGCCGCAAGGTCCCTGTCGTTGTTGTCTCTGCAACACCGTCTATCGCCGCTTCGCTCGCCAGTCGTCGAAACCCTAACCTTCATTATTCGCAGTCACTGCCATTGATGGCATATCTGACTCCACATTGATCCCAAAAAAAACCCTAGCTTTTATCCAAATCGGAGCTCAGCAGCTTCAATGCAGCTAATCACATTGATTGGAAGATTCGAAACTCGCAAAAATCAAAACCTTATTCTTTTAAAAAATGTGAAATCAAAGAACTTTTTGAAAAAAAAAAAAAAAAGTGACCACAGAGAAATGTTGACGTGGTTTGCTCTTTAAATGACAAAATACCAATCATGTGGCTAAATGGTATCACCTATCTTGAGGTTTGTTCTTGAATTTAAGGCTGAAAGTTAAAGGATGAAGGCTGAAGACTGAAGGCATTTCTATACAAGGCCGAAGGTTGAAGGCTAAATAAGCTGAAGGCATTTATATGCAAAGCTGAAGGCTGAAGACCGAAGGCTAAATGGGCTGCAGCAAGCAACATCTGGTTTAAGTGACAAGTGTCATCCGGCAGCAAGCAACATCTGGTTTAAGTGACAAGTGTCAACTGTAAAAGGCAATTATGTAATCTTATCTACATCCTCATGGGTATCTCGGTCAATTTAGTTGACAGAGACAATTTAAATCCCTTGTATGAAGGTATATTGTATCAACTGGCCGAGAAGTACTAAGTCTCTTGTATACACAACAAGTGTCAAGTTGAAGGGCATTTCTGGAAGACCATATACAATTGTGGTCACAAGGCTGTACAATGAATATTCAAATGACACGTCTCAGTGGTCCTAGAGAGCTGGTATATGCAAGAATATTTCATTCCTTAGAGGCTAAGTTTGGACAGAAATGGAATTCAGTACTCAAACTTGTAACCTGTTGTAGCTGGTAGAATAGTGACAAAATTAGCTGAGGTGGCAGGTCTGCATTGGTCCATTGCTCTGAAAATATCTGAAATATGCTCTCTCAATCATTGGCTTGAGGTGACAGGTGTATATTCGTGGTGTGTGAGGCCTTGTGTAATTCAGTGTCACTATAAATATGCTGCTATAAGGCTCTTTAGGTTTTGAGCTTCTTGAATTTATAGTGTACTGACTTAAGGCTTTATGAGCTTCAATTAAGCTGCTGTGAATGAAAGTCTAGTGAGCTAAGATGTGAGTGATTGTCAGAGAGAATTTATGAGGTTCTGAGCTGAATTTGATCTTTGAAATCAACAAGAAAAGGGATATTAAATCACTAAAGCATTGAAGATCCAGTATTGCTGAGTTTCTGGTGTAAAAAGGGGGCTGTGGAGGTTCAGAAATTACTGTGGAGGTTTTTGTGGTTCGAGCAAGGCTCAAGCAAGTTTGCTTATGATTTTTACATCTGCAGGAGGTGCTCACTTATACAAAGTTGAGCTGAAGTAAGTTTTGATATCTTAAATCCTCTGTCAAGCCTGTTTTCTGATTTAGCCTACTGATTTGAGTATACATTGCCTATATCTTGCTATGAGTTACATGTTAAGCATTCTAGCAAGTTTCAATCACTAATTTAAGGCTATTGAAATTAAAAGGTTGCCACAAACCTGACCATGTTGGTGTTCGGCCTTGTAGATCTAAGTTATTAGAGGTTTAAGCCTGAAAACTGGTATTTGAGGTTTGAAGAGTATATACCATGCTATTCTTGATGTGATTTCTGTCTCAGCATGTGTATTAATCTGAAATATAATTGAGGATCTCAAGCATACAATGTCAAACAAGTTTTTCTCTGCTGTTTGATGCTGATCTATGCAAGAAAAACTCATTGAATCAATTCTGAGGTGTGTACTGATTGCTGAGATGAGGCTACTGTCAAATTAGCTGATGCAAAGGCTGTATTGGGTAGTGACTTTGGGTCTTGAGCTGTTGTGGTCTATTCTGAAGGTTGACACAGCTATTTTTGTGTTAAGGCTATTCTGAACTGAAGCTGTTTTGAGCTAAAGCTACTTTGTGCTGAGGCTATGCTGTGCTGAAGCTACTCTGTGCTGAGGCTATTCTGTGCCGAGGCTATTCTGTGTTGAAGTTGTTTGTGC